TAATAATAATAATAATAACAATAATAATAATGATCATGATGATGACGATGATGAAATTACATTTATACAGTGCATTTCCATTAAGAGAGCGTATCATTAATTGATCCATTAGTTCATTCAATCTTTATTTAATTTATATATTCATTTATGTAACACATTTTCGGCAGGGGCAGGAATGGGGTGTGATTTATTTAGAATCCAAGAAACCCCAGTCAAATGCTTTTTCAAAGAACTACGGCGAAACTTGGACTGATCTCATTAAAAACTGATTTGCGTTATGCTGCTCAGAGAAAGCAAAATAGATGCAGAAGGCCAAAATCACAATCCAAAGATCTACATTAAGTCGTTTGTTTTAATTGTTTATTAATTAATTTATTTATTTATTTATTTATGTATTTTTTATTTTTTTTAATTAAAAATTTTTTTTATATAGATGGGATGAGGGGGATACAGAACATTTAAAATGCATTTTTTTTTTAAAAACAGGGACTCTATTCAGAAGCATTTTTTTACAACCACGGAAACATCTGAATAATAATATGTCTAATAAAAACTGCATTAAACTGCTAAGTGGACCAAAAAAATGAAAATATTTACACAGAATGCCAAAAAATCACAATACAACAGAAAGAGTAAACTTCTACAAAAATGATTGTATCTGCTTGCCATCCACAGCTGGAATTCCCCAGCACGACTCTACACTACGCAACAAAGATCCGCACCTCACGGATCCCACCCCCCCCCCTCCCCACATGTTTTTGTATCGCTGTTGGAAAACACATCAGGGCACCATTGACCTCAGCTGTTTACTCGAGCCTAGAGCTCCGGGGTAGACTCCCGTCCGAGGGACAATAGCGGCCATTTAGCTGGGAATTTCCACGGATTGGTCAGCGGACCCGGGCCGCTTCACAGGGGGCTGTACTGTGAGCTTATGAATGCTCCAGAATAATTATCATTTTGGTAAGGACTTAAAAGTGTTGTGTAAATAGCTGTACCGAGATATTAGCTTCGTCACAATGTGGCAAAGTGTGGTGGTCTCCCCCCCCC